TCCCAGTCCTTCCTGAAGAGCCTGTATCTTTCCATTCCGACACTCCAGTCGTAGGAACCGTCCTACTATGTCTCCATGATGCCAGTGAGATCATAGTCCTGCAGGTGTGTGCACATTTCTAACTCCTGTTTATTCCCCATCCTATATGCGTTTGCATAGTGGCATTTAAGGGTCATTAACTATATATAATGCAAATTAAGTAATGTAGGAGAGTTACAAGCTTCACTTGCAATAACCCTGCTAGCTTTGTGATAGTGCACAGTGGCCTTAGCCAGTGTGTTTAGATCAGAGTGCAGCAAAAATTACGCAGTATTCAGGTGAAACTGCAGAAGAGCTGTTTAGGCAGGCAGATCATCACTCCCTCTTAGGCTCTGCCTTGGAGGCCGGGATTGCCACATGTACTTTTTACAAATTTTTGCAGCAGAGAACATCTTTTTTATCATGAGAAATGCAAATGAAGCAGCAAATGCTTCTCTCTTTAATTTTGACGAAATAAAAATCTAAACTGCAAGACAAGCCAGAATGTGGATTGTTGCCATCTCTGATACCTCATTCCCATTCAAAATTGGCTTTCTTTTAGAATTTTGTCCAGTTCATTTTAAATAAAAGATCTTCAAATAGGAAATGGTTCTTTTGAATTTGAAAGAAATGTAATAAACTGAGGCAACGTGCATATTTTTCGGGAGTGTCAGTGAAAGGCAAAAACACCAGGTTGTTCACAAGGCTTACAGAGCAAGATATTCACTGTTTTCTGAGGAGGTTGCATCTGGTGTTAGCAGCACACTTGACCCTTGCTTAACCCTTCTTAGGGATGCCCTTTAAATTTCAATGTTGCAGAAGGCAGACTAGAGCCTTGCTGTCAATCAGAGGAGTTATAATTAGTGCCTGCAATGGAAGTTTTTAGCTGGACTGCTCCCCAGCCATGGTGCTGCATTCCCACCTGAATCCCAAGCACTGAGGGAGGGGATTTCCTCTTCTTCCCAGCGACTTTACCCATTTTCATTTTGTGATTGAATCCTGAGTGGTGTGCATAGGTTTATAAATAAAAAAACACTTTGATGCAGCAATCTTTGCAGCTTGAGGGCATGATCATGAGAGGCCAAGAGCTGTAGTCGGTGTTTGGGGGATGGATGCTTTGCCTTTGTCCATCTTCTGTGAACACAAGCAGCAGTTGTGAAGGAAGAGTCACTTCCCAGATTTTTATGAAAATGGTGCTAATGACAATGGAAATACAGATTTCTCCAATGGAAATCTCCAGATTAATTACCGTGGATTAAATTTTCATATAACAAATTGATAATGGGTCTGTTAATCAGACTCATACAAATGCAGGTGCTTGTTCCTGGCCTACATGGAGAGGGTAAAATCTGGGAGGTTTAGCAAAAGTGTGGTGCAGAGGGAGGAGAGGAGGATTTCCTTGGGAGCCAGGGTTTGTGAAAGGGCTGTAGAACTTCAGGAGGATCTGGACAGAAGTCTTACACCTGGTGAAGTCTTGGGGCTCCTTCCCTCCTCGAGCACTTGGCTGTGTGAACTCTTCCCCCATTTTAATTTTTTTTCACAGGAGTTGGTGTGACTGCTGGAGGGATGGGATGGGGAAGTGCAGGCACAGGAGAAAGTCACTGGCCAGCATCTGTGCTCTCATGCCAAGTCCTGTCCCGTTCCCCTGCCAGCACCCAAAATCAGCGTCCCAGAGCCCAGGCTGCACTGGAGTTGGTGTGGGAAGGAGAGTGGGAGGAGTGGGGTGCTGCAGGTGTTGCTTCCTTCCAACGGAGAGGTGCCTGGTCAGATACTTGCATGCGGTGCTGCAGACTTTGCTCACAACAGATCCAGACTAGCCATGGCCCAAAGACATGCTTAGGGAAGTCCACAGAGTGAGTGCTTGCTCATGTGTAGAAATATTAGGAGGCAGCGGAGCTAGAATTAGAATTGTTTTAAAACGTTTTTCCCCCTCCAAATAGAATCCTAAAAGTAGGCTTTAAGTTACCTTTAATTAGGCTTTCCTTTGGTTTCACCTTGCAATCTTTTAACATTTCAAGCAATTTCAGTCTCTCAGTAGAAATTCAACATTTCTGTGTTGTTACAGTAATCTATATTGCAAAAGCCAAGAGAAATAGGCACCAGTTCACTTTCCTTCTCTGTCCCTTACAGATGCACTTTACTTTTACCTCCGTGACAGTGTTCCAGTGTGAACTGGGGTGATTTACCCAAGCAGGTTGCTTATGGATGGTATACAGGTGCAAACGATGCTTTTCATGTTTGTGATGTGCCCACTGTAGGGGTTTGCACACTTTTGGGAACTCTGCAGCTTCATTGGCTGTATATTTATAGCTTACAGGTTGCTGGAATAAGATTCAGTAGTTTGCAAGCAGGAACAACAATTTTTCTCAGGAAGGAAAACTTCTGCACATCTGGGTGATAGCAGCTGGAAGCAACTATTGAGGCAACAGGTCTTTACAGGTTTTCCGACATGGTCAGGTTATACTTCATTTTCCCAAAACTTTGCTGTGGTACCCAAAATATAAGTTTGACTCTCTACAGACAAATAAGTGTTATTTCCTCTGTTCTTATTTCCATTTTCTCACTCTCTTCCCTAGTTGCTGCAAGGCAGTAGAAACTAAAGTCTAATTCTAGGTGTGTGTCCTCATCTGTGTTTTCTAGCATGCTTTTGCCTTCAGCGTGGCCTTCCTTATCAGCACTTCCTTTAACTCATCATAGCTCAGTTCATAACTTCGAACACTTTTTGGTACACAGGGGAAAAGGTTTTTTGAGTGTTGAGTGAGAATTCTTCTGCAGCCTCCCGAAGGAAAGGCGAGATGTGCCCACTGGGTTGGAGCACAGAGGAAGGAGTGGAGCTCCACTGCCCACTTGAAGAGTGCCGTCCATGTATTTCTGGTCTTGCTGCACGCCCAGCATCGTTGCCTGAGGCAGGCACAGAAGCTCAGCCTGGCTGGAGAGCTCCTCTAAGTCAAGGACCAAGAGTTTCAATTTGAGAGCAGCATGGCTCAGCCTTTGCTCAGTCCTCTCAGGAGGGTTCATCCTGCTGACTGGCCAACAGAGCGTTAAGCGAGCAGAAGGGATTTTTCAGGAGGGTATGAAATTCTCCCACCACCTTAATTCCTCCTTTTGTGACATGGTGCAGCTTGTGCAATTCTGAAGGTGTAAAGCTGCCCAAAACAGCCTCTCGCAGGGAGGAAAATAGGCAAAAAAGGCAGGGAAATACACCAGCAGAAATCCTGGCCGATTTCTGGATGCAGTACAAACATTGTTGTCATCTAAATAGCAATGCTGTGATCTAAATAGCAAACCCTCTTCTGATCCAGCGGTAGATAAAAGCAGATTCAGAGAACAGAGCAACGGTCAAGAAATGTTTTTATTGGTAAAAGTTTTCGGTAAGAAGTCTTGGCAGCTGGTGATTACCTGCTGCTGTGGTTCCAGAGAATTCAGCTTTTTGTCCATATTTATGTATTGGTGACTGGTAACTCTGGAAGCTTTCAATAGCCAGCTGTTTGCCTAATTCCTTCTTGAATCCTGCTGAGATCATGGTCTTTACAGTACCTTATGACAGGCTATAATTATTTGTTGTGTAAGAACACGTTTTGTTACGCAACACAAATGTGTTTCCCTTGTATTTGTCACACGTCTGTTTTCTTTGAACATCCTTTGCTTCACAGATGCAAAAGGTAAATGAAAACACCCATTTCACTTCTCTGAACCATTCAGTACTTTGCATCCCAGAGGGTAAGAGCCCTGACCAGGTTAGATGCTGTCAGTGTGTGTATATAGACCAGGTGTGTGATAAGTGTTTGTCACAAATGAGGTAAGTCTCCAATAATTTCCTCAGGAGTCTTCTCACATGTAGAAGGAAAAGTGCTGCATCAGGTAGCCCCCACCATTTCATTCACTCTGAAGCACTGTGTAACATGCTTTTTCTTAAAAGAAAATAGTGGGAGCTGGTCAAATTTAGAGACAAAGTAGAGCGTAGTTTAAGCTAAGCAGAGCTAAGTTTAATGCTGCGCCTCGATGTGGACTCTGGTCTAATTTTAATCCAGGGATAGCAACAACACTGCTTGCACTCAGCTGGTAAAGCGAAGCTATGTGGAATGGGGATCACTGAATTTAGCTTTTATCATACTAATACCTCAGTTGCTAAATTGCTACCCAGGAATGCCGTTAAATAGCCTGCTGCATAAAACACACCTTGCCATATGTGTGTTCTTGCAGCTGTGCCTGGGGTCACGTCAGGGAAGAGGATAGATGTACTATTGCTCACACTCCCCCTTCTGCCTTCAATAGGTTACACTATATACTCATTCCAGTGGATGGAATTCTATTCTTCAGGACAGGTTAGCAGTATTTTCCAGAATAAATTTGGACACAGGGAAGACTCTGGGCTTCTCAGACCCTGTTGGGAGAAGATAGGAAGGAAATTAATTTGCTGTTGGACATCTTTGTGGGCCAGGCCCAGTGTTAGAGACAATGAGGGTGCTCTGACTGAATTCTAAATCTCTACTATTAAGCACACATTCTTTGCAGACTCAGAAGAGATCCCCTTGCTGCTCCCATTGAATCCCCTAGAGTTACACAGGAAAACAAACAATGCTTCCTACTTGCTTAGAGGACAGTCACATTTCTGCCAATGCAGGGGTTGCTGTATTTCAGTTAGTGACTCATAAAGAATTAAAAAAGGTTTGGAAAATCAACAGTGGGAGTTTTTTTCCAGCACTCTTATTTAGCTGGAAATCATCTGAAATCCGAGTTGGTTTATTCTCTTCAGTCAGCTAACACAGGGGAGTGAAATCTTTGCCTGTTATTGTGGTAAAATCTGTCTCTGAATCAACATGACAATGAAGAAGAAACTGCAGATTTCCAGTGCTCTGTCCTGCTAAGATGGTGTTTATACTGTAGACGGGCAGGTGTGGGCATGTCTTTGTTAAAAGCTGGAATTGCCTCTGATGCTTTGTTCCACATTAAAATACCATCATGTCTCTCTTTTCTTGCAGAATGAAGAGACGCAAGTGTCCCAACAAATGTCCCTCACGAAGGAAGATCCTGATCCTGTGTGTTACAGGGTGGCTGATTGCACTGCTGAAGCTCCTCCATGTCGAAAGACACTTCTTTCCCTCTAAGGGCATTTATTTGGTTGAGCACTTCTTGAGCACTTCTTCTTATGTTAGAAACAGATATACCTACCTTAGAAATGAGTTCCAGTATGAAATTAATTGTTCATCTATATATGAACAAGATCCTTCTGAAATTGGCAAGAGTTTGGAGATAAGAAGAAAAGAGATAATTGATTTAGCTGATGAAGATATTATAGCAATAACGAGTGATTGCCATGTGTATCGTGCACTTAGGAAATACCACCTAAAACCTGTTTCTCCAGAGGAGGAGAGTTTTCCAATCGCCTATTCTTTGGTTGTTCACAAAGATGCAGTAATGGTAGAAAGGCTCATAAATTCACTATACAGTCATCAAAATATTTACTGCATCCATTATGACCAAAAAGCAGCAAAAAGTTTCAAATCTGCTATGGACAACCTAGCTAAATGTTTCCCCAATATTTTCATTGCATCAAAATTGGAGACAGTGGACTATGCACATATTTCACGGCTGCAAGCAGATTTAAATTGTTTGTCTGACTTGTTCGATTCTTCAGTTCCCTGGAAGTACGTTATTAATTTGTGTGGCCAAGATTTCCCTTTGAGATCAAATTTTGAGTTGGTCGCTGAACTAAAGAGACTCAGTGGAGGAAACATGCTGGAAACTATAAAGCCAAGCAGTAGCAAAAGAGAACGATTTACTTACCACTATGAACTTATGAAAGTGCCTTATGAATATATGCAGATGCCTGTAAAAACCAACATTTCCAAGAATCCGCCACCTCATAATATTGAGGTATTTGTAGGTAGTGCCTATTTTGTTTTAAGCCGAGCATTTATCCAATATACCCTTGAAAGCTCCCTTGCAAAAGATTTTTTTGAGTGGTCAAGGGATACATACTCTCCAGATGAACATTTCTGGGCCACTCTTGTACGTGTTCCTGGGGTCCCTGGGGAAGTTCCCCGGTCATCCGAGGACATAACAGACCTACAAAGCAAAACTCGTCTGGTGAAATGGAATTATCTTGAAGATCACCTGTATCCTCCCTGCACTGGTACCCACCTTCGCAGTGTCTGCATCTATGGGGCCGCAGAATTAAGATGGCTTCTGAATTATGGGCACTGGTTTGCCAACAAGTTTGACTCCAAAGTAGACCCTGTCCTGCTAAAATGCTTGGCAGAAAAACTGGCAGAGCAACAGAAAGAGTGGGTATATCTGTCGTCTGATAAGTACTTTCTGCACATAAATTCTGTGAATGCCTCCTTATAGCAGCACAGTCTTCCCTGCTGTCAGTACTGTGAACTGTTGTGGCACAGCGCCTGCAGTTCCTCTGCCTTGGCATGCTGCAGGATGTTAGTGAGCAAAATACCCATTCTGCAGAAAGCTCAGGGCCCTGGAGAGCCAGGTGCCTGCCCATTTATTTATGAAAAGTCATGCCTCTCTGATTAACCGTTTTGTAACTTGCCACAGTTATCCTGTAATTGTTCTTCAGGGTGATTCTGAGAGGGTGAGGTTTGGTTTTGGAGGCTGGCGCTGTCTGTCCTAGTGGAGTATTTCAGAAACGTGTTTTACATCGAGTGTGTTTGCATCTTTCCTAAGAAACTCCCAATGTGTCTGTCTGTCTGTCCCCTTTTCCTACACTTTTGTTTTTATTTAAAGGTGTGAAACAAAGACCTCTGTATCTGCTACCTCAGGAAAACTGGAAGTGCCCAGCTCACAGACAAAACCAAGAGATCAGCATGACACCAAATGAGCCGTGTGGCCTCACCTGAAGTCCCAAACTTCTCATCTATGGGAGCTAACAAAGATCTTTGCAATGTGAATATGACTGGATGATATAAGGGAAAGATCCCTAGATAACGCGTTGTCTGTAGCATTGTTCTCTTCTCGCAGCTCAACTGTGCATTGTTTTTCCTTGTGTGAAGCGTGTGCTCAGGTTCCGTGCCATGCCTATGAAATCAGTGGTGGCTGATTGAAACAGAATTCTGCACTGTTGCTCTTCAAAGGCAGTATATGAATGTGCCCTAAGGGCAGTCTCTGCAGCCCCTTAGAGTGGATATCCATGCCAAAAGAGGTTGATCTTTATTTCTAGCTCTGCCTGTAAAGATATCCTCCTGTGAAATCCCAGTCCTCTTGAGACAGTACGTCTTACACACAGTGGATAACAAGTGCTCGTTCCAGTCAGCGTTCAGCAATGTGGTGCTATATTGAAATGCAAAACACGCGAAGTCGAGCGGTAATCGTTAAGAATAGCCATATTGCAGAAATGAAGGCCCTGTGTAGACGTGTTTCTCTGTGCAAGTCTCTTGGCCTTGTGCCACCGCGATCCCAGGCTGGTGGGTGCCGGGGCAAGCCCTGGTTCAGCTGTAGAGCAACTGTTCTCCAACAGCCTCTGCTTTCCATGGCCTTGCCTGGCCTCCTGGTAGCAAAGTCTCCCAGGAGTGTCCTCGCAGCTGGGCTGTCCATGCTACAGCATGAGGGAAGTGTTGGTTACTGCAGGGGTCTCTGCAGAAACTCTTGCAACTCAGAAATGCTTCTTGGCATTTTGGGGGTTTCTGGAACATTGCTCTGCCACAAGTTTGGGTTCAGTGGTTCCAGTGGACCTTGGGGTCTAGCTTGCACCATGCCGCTGTCCTCTTTCTGCCCATCTGACTTTCTTTTAAGGGCCTCTTCCCACAAGTGTCTTTGGGAAATCTGGTCTTATTGATCCACAAATTGCTGCAATAACAACCATGTCTCATACCTATGAGAAATCTTTGTTCTTATTTGAGTTGAAAGAACGAAGTAATTTTTTGGTCTCTGCTTTTGTTTATAAATTTAGTCATGGTCAAGTAATGTGTGGCTTAAGATGGGGTTTGAGAGTCAGGACTCGTGGGGGTTTTTCCCCGTTTACGACACTGATTTCCTATGAGACCTTGGAGGAGTCATCTTGAGTTTTCTGTTTCAGCTGTTCCAGCTGTAAAATGGGAAAAACAATGTTCTATTATCTTGCTAAGCACTTCAAAACCTTTGGATGTTGTTGGTTGATTGCACAGTACTAGTTACATATCAAACTGTTTATGCAGTCCGTGGACACACAAGTCAGGTATTTCTTTGATGTACTGTCTCTGAAATAAATGGGGATTATTTTTAAAGTGTGTCTTGCTTACTTGAGTGACTTGCCATGTCTGCCCAGGGCTGTCCTGACTTGATGTGATTTATAGACACTTTGTAGAAGATGAAATATTAACAGTATTTACAGATTCATACATCAGTAGTTGTATATAAATTAGAGAATTCCCACGTGGAAAAAGGTTAATAAAAGATGATGTTAGGATCCCAGGAGGCCAAGCCACAGACTTCTGTACACATAAACTGACGTTTAATAATATAATGATATATTTTAAATTTTTTATTTAGTTAAATTGTCTTTATGTATGTATATACACACATCCCCATTTGTGTTTAAGTGGTTTGTGCTACCACAGATTGATTAAAACAATCCACTAGCACATTAAATTTACAACCAACATGCAACTTTGTGTTGCTTTAACTGAACTGGGTTGAATGATACTAGTTGAAATTGGGTTGAAATTTAACTGGCTTGAAATAAGGCAGCTTATGCTGCCTAGGTAGCGAAGAAATGGATGGAGGAGATGGCACAGTGTGAAGACCCATCACCCATTACATCACTACGTTTGCTAGCTAGGGAAGTACAAGTTCTACAGGCATAGATGCAACTTTATGAAGTGCTGATTTTCTAATGAATTATAAAATATTTCTGGGTTTTTGAAGGTGACTTCAAAGGCAGTTCAGGTTTGTATAAAGGCAGTTCACAAAAATCACTCAAGCTGGAAGATCATGGAGCCCAGCCTCCCGCTCACGACAGGATCGACCCTAAGTTTGGGCTGGGTTTCTTGGGCTTTGTCCCAGGGAGTCTCATAGAATCTCTAAGAGGGATTCTGCAGCCTTTCTGGGGCAACGTTTTCCAATGTTTCCAGGAAAAAGAACAGCCAAAATATAAGTTACTTAACTTTTGAATAATTTTCTCTCTGTTCTTTAATTGCATTCAGCGATGTAGATGTACAATGTAGATGCCTGTATCATAGTTACGTGGCTAGATTACAGGGGTAGGTAACAACTTCATTACTTACCTTTGACTTCATTGTCTTTGTTCTTTACACAGGTAGGTCTTTCTTTACTGACAACAGAGCTGAGGCATGATCTATAAACACCTTTCTGAGAAAAGTGGCTGAATCTAGTTTATGGCAAAGCAAATATGAAATTTTATTTGGGCTGAAACTTAGATTATAGGAAGTTGTCTGCCATTCTGCTCTCACAGGGATTTTTTTTTTCTTTTTGCCTTAGTAAAGCTCAGACATCCTTTCCTCTTCCTCTCTTCCCTTCTCCTGGACACGATTCCTCTTGTAGGTTATTTCACAAATTTGAAATGCACATACATTTCCATGTATTAGATGGTTCTCTCTGTTCCGGTGAGGAAGCCCTGTGCTGGCTTTCTTCCACCCACCCTGCCCTGTGCTGGCTGCATGGAGCATCTGGACTATCAGTGAACCTGATTTTCAAGTTCAGGAAGGATGTGTGGGCAGGTGCTAGTGCTGCTCCTGGCTGCCAGCACTGGTGTACAGGTCCAGCCCACCCTTTTAGTTAGTGGCTGAGAACAGCAAAAATGCTGAATGCATTCTAACATGGAAAAGTTGAGGAAGAAAAGGAAATGGTGAGCTTTAACTGAAGAGACATAGAGAAAACATTTGTACAGCTTGTCTCACTAATTAATTTATTAGGCTGGACATGGAGTCAGGAGGATAGTATACACAAACATAAGCGCCTCACTACATATTTTCTTTGACATCGGAATAAAAGGATGTGAAAGAGTAGAAATTAGACACCTAATCTGGAACTGTAATTTAAACAGACCTGGCCTGTTGGGCCATGTCTATGGCTGCTATGTCATTACTGTGGCATTTGAATCACAATGTATAAACATGAGAAAACCAGTATTTGGGCAGAAAATGTGGAGCATATGTGGCACACTAGTGTGTGTTTACAGTGTGACCTTGGTTTTTAGTTCAGGTGTAATGCCTGTTTCTATTTGGTGTTTTTAGAGTGCTTGCACTGTTCTTGGTGGTGATAATTTCCACTCACATAGAAATGATACTTCAGAACAATGTGATCTCTTAGTAAGATGCAGTAAGTCTGTACTGGAAGTACCCCAGAGCTGTTTGGTATTTCAAGCTGATATTTCTGCACTCTACCCTGCTTTTTCTGTTTTTTCAGAACTGCCACGCTCTTTGATTTTCCTGTGGCTGAAGTATACTGATCTTGATAGTACCAATCCTTCTTGGAAAAGGGAGGAAGGAAAAGCCACAGAACTTTGGACAAGGCATTTTCTTAATAGAGACAAGAAGGAGCCAGACAGTATATTGTGAAGGGAGACAGGGACGATACAGAGCTGCTACAGAGCGGCCACTTGCGTGTCTTAGCAGAGATTTGCTTAAGTGGAAATGCTTGCATACAACATGGTTGCTGTTGCATCTCTGATCAAGGTAACCTAGACTTGAGTTAGTGCATTCTGAAAATGAAGGTCCGTTAGGAAATAATGCCTGGAGCCTGTATCAGTTTCTTTTCTTGTAAAAGATAGGTGCTCTTGAAAATTTACTGCAGCTTGACTAGGCAGTTACAAAAAGACTCAGGAGACTGGGCTAGTTGCATCAGAGAGGGCATAAGAAGGACCCTCTAATTTTTTTGCTTAAGGCAGGTAAATGGTTTTTAATGACGCTTTCTGTGTTATTTGTAGAAACCAATTTAAAGATGTGCTAATCTGAAAAACCAGTGACTGACTTCCACCTTGCATCTCAAGTGTTTGCTGTAACACATACAAGTTTATTTAAAACACTCTTCCCTGGGCTACAATTAGATAATGCATTGTGAGTTAATTAAAGGCAGCAGCTTCTCTGTTGCTGAGCCTCTTTTTTCTGCCTGAGATTGTTCTCTGAGACAGAAAAGATGGTAAATCTAAGCTTCACCTGGGGCGATGAGAAGATTAGAGAGTATACAGAGATGCTGCAGGTGGCATTGTTACCACTGTAGCATAACAGCTGGGAAATAAGAATAATTGCATCTTATACTGTAGAGGTTCAAGTCACTATTTTTTCATAAATGTAATAGGAATTAGAAACCATACAGTTGGAAATAACTACATGCAAATATTTTAGTGCTAAATTGCTAGAGGCCATGGGAAGTAGGATGAAAGTGTAGGTGGTATGTGCATTTTTATCTGACGCATGGTAAAATGAGCTGTAGATGAATTGCAAGATCTTTCAGTTAGCAGAAATGTAGATATCCTCCTTCTACAGAGGTTTGAAATGGCAGAATTAAAGGCATTAGGTTATTTTCTCCAAGAAATGTTATGCTTGTTTTTTTCCTGTGGTTGTTTCTTACCTTTTAATACAGCAGTCCCAGCTTATTTGTAGTTATAAGATACCAATATCAATTAAGTTTTATCACCTCTCATTTACTCTAAGATTCTTTGGAGTCCATAGCGTGCTTTTTGTCCTGTAGCAGGTCTAAGGGCTCTTAATACAATCAGAATGTGGCATGGCTGGATTTCCATTTAGTTTACTTTAGTGGACATGTGCATGTGCTGAGCTACTCTGTGCCTGAACAGGTACAGCACTTATGATCTTCCATCACTAGGCAATTACCCATATTTTACTCTGTATTTCAAGGAAAAATTATCAAAGTTATCCTTTGTTTCTATGCCAAACTTAACTTCTTCCCCTTGTCTTGAATTCTGCTTGGTACAGGTGATACATAAAAAAAGCTGTGTCAAGGAGATACACCCAAAGGAATAAGTGCGTCACCAAAAAGGAAAAAAAAAAAGTTAGTTTGGAAAAGTCATTTCAAATAATTGAAAAAAAAAAAAGTGATTGATTTTATCCCTGAACAAGGATAAAATATCCCTGAACAGGGATAAAATAAGAATATCCCTGAACAGGGATTAAATGCATGCAGCTGCTATTGCAGCCATTTGGAGAGTTACTTCTCTGACTTTGGTATTGCTAATAATGTTCTTAAAAATGCACTCCTATTTCCAAGCTTTTGCTCAGCTGGGATATGAATGCCTGCAATTGGTAAAGCTTCATCCTTCTCCCTTGCAGATCAGAGTTTTACCCTGTGAAACCCATGAGCAGATTTAAATGCTTTATTTCTTCGCCAGCCTTCAGATTGCAAGCTTCCTATAGGGTAGAGCAGAACCAGAAAAGCATCTGGCCATTGGCACACAAGTGATTGGACAACACAGCCTCCTGAGGATGGAGCTGCCTCCAGAAAATGAGCTGGAACAGGAGTCAGACCGCTCAGCCTGCAGAGCAAACACTGCCTCTGTTTCATTTCATTAGGGCACACCAGCATTATAATTTTCAAGACCAGCAAGCTAATTGTATTTGTATTGTTTTCATCGGCTGCAGAGTCTTGGAATTCTCTCTTACGGCTTTCATTTATGAAGATTTATTTAACATTTTTGTATATATATTTTGGGAACAGACTCAGTGTATCTTCCTGTACTGCATGCCTTGTCCTCATTTGAAACCAAGGCAGGCAAATCAGATTCTGAAGTCATAAACCTACAAAGAGCCGAAGACATGAAGAACTGAGTCATCCTAAAATTAAGTAGCTGTAGCATTTTGCTTCTCTATGGTCATTAAGTGGATAGTTTTATATTCTGTTTCAGAAACCTGAGGCACTTCATAAATTGGAATAGCAAGAAGTGGAGATATTAAAGAAAAATTTACCTGGAGCTCTTACCTGGAAGTTTTTATTTCAGTCTGCTTGAAGTGAGCCGCTTCCATTTTAGGTGCTGAACAGACGCATACACCACAGAGGTGCTGCTGGCACCATTGCCACCTTCCCCAGTGCCTCAGAGGCTGTGCTCTCCCCCTGGTCAGGCAGTGGTCACTGCAGATACCAGGAGAGGGGGCAGAAGAGGTGGCCTCCATCCCACTGCTCTAGAAATAACTCTTCGGGCAGGGATCCTACCTAGCAGTGTGTAAAGGCTGTTGGAGTAGGTAAACATGACAGATGGTGAGCTTCAATATCGCAGCTTTGGGAAGGAGCAGAG